CCAAGCAATTTGCAAGAATCCCTATTTCCATTTTGCTAGTCTCTCATACAGTAATAGTCCTCTTTTGACAAGTTACAATGTACTTAGGATGTATCTTTTTGATCCTTACATATTAGATCCATTTTTCAATTATATCTATTTACAGGTAGATCTCCATATATACGTTGTACATAGTATGGTTTCACTTTGAGAGCAGGCAACTAAATTTCATTTTTGATGTGTGCCGTTGTGCCCACAGTAAAAAAATGACAATACAGGTTATCTTATCTTATCTTATCTTATCTTGCACTACAAATGAAAAAAGCAGACATATAATGCTTTTTTAAAACGTTCAATTTGTTTGTTGTACAGAACAAACATCCAATTTGATCATAATCAACAGATGCAGATCAAACAAATCATCCAGGAAATTGACATTCCCATTCAGTTCTGTTTAAAAAGAGTCATGGATATAAAATCAAATCTTTTCACTTTTTCAGTCTAAGCAAAGGAAAAAATTATTATCCAAATAGTGTAGTGAGTACATGAAAGGGATTTTCATCTGATCTTTTTCATTAGTGTTTACAGAGTGAGTTATTTATTGAAGTCTTTAATCTCTTAATAGTCATTTCAGACTACATAATGTGCATTAATAATTATTATTGATCATTAAATACTCTTGTGCATTTAGTTTCATATTGGCATAGTTTAAACTAAATTACTAAAATCTCTACCAAAGTGTGGAAAAAAGAGTGGTCATTTACTGTACTAACACAGTTTGATTTGAATTCACTCTATTTCTTTCTTATAATCAGTCTATACATTTTAATCTTCAATATTGAGAAATATCATTAAAATTAGCAATGGCACCACCTTGAAACCACACTTGAAATTGGTTTGAAAATCCTGATTCATAAAAAATTATTATCGATCTATAATCCTTTTGCAAACCAATAACAGAAAAATAAATGTACCAACTTTTTGATGAACACATAATTTTTCTATAAAATAATGCAAAATATTATACCTTCAGATCACTTATCACACAATAAATGAAGTTTAGCAGGATTTTTTTTTATTTCAAGAGTTATAAAAAGGATTAGCAATCACAGCCTATTTTATTTTAATTTTAGCTGCACAAAACCACTAATAACCTTGATGGAATATCTTTTTTCAGTTTGCTCCCTAGCTGATGACTAAATAAGCACTTTGTTATTAAAATTCCATCCCTTTATTTTTTCTGAGCAACTTCTATTAAGCAGAACTAAGCAGTTCTATTGGGCTGATATACTTAGCCAATAAAACAAATAAATTAATAACATATAGAAAAGTGTTATACTCTCCAATGGAAACTTTCTAGTATGAATATATCATCTCTTTATATATTCGAATTTCTTTTTTTGTTGACAAACAGTTAAAGAGTTAAATGGGAGACTAGGATGGCCATTTTGAGCTCATTTTGCTCTCATCAGCTAACCATACCCTTTATGGGATTCGAACCTGGGCAGCCTGCATACTAGGCTGCCCAGGTTCGAATTCCATAAAGGGTATGGCTAGCTAATGAGAGCAAAATGAGCTCGAAATGGCCATCCTAATCTCCCATTTAACTCTTTAACTCTTTGTCAACAAAAAAAAAGAAATTCGAATTTGTAATGTATCACAGTAGCGACTTGAGCCTGCTTAACGCCCCTAGTTTGGGGGGCTGCAAGGCAAAAGTGATTATAACAGTAGAACTGCAGTATAGCAGTCAAAATACCAAGGTGTATCAACCAAAAAAACCGGTCTGACCGGAAAGAAAAAAACTTGTGGCACCAACAGCTTCGTCCAGCAGCCTGTATGGCCGCTGGCCCACTTCTTCTGTGCCCACTCACAGCAGGCCGCATGGTGCACCACACCAGTGCCGTCGCAACAAGCAAGGCAGGTGGGGAAGGAGGTGGAGCTGCCTCACATGCTCCACACCTGCTTATCTCAGGGTGCCTGCAGCCAGGCCACTCCCCACTTGGCGACCTCCCCCTCATTCAATAACCTGGCTGCCTGCCTGCCTCTTCCCTTTCACTCCCCTCCTGAGCCAGATTGCCATACTATGGAGGATGGGCGGTGGTGTTGTGGCTCCGTCCAGTGGGTCCCTCTCATCAGAGGAGGAAGGCTCTGAACATGAAGGAGAGGAGATGGCTAGGCCTCCCTCTCCAGGCCCTTCCCCTCTGGTGCAGCCTTCGGTGCCTTCCAACAGCGAGGAGTTTGGCCAGGAGCCCGGTGTTTCTGGGATTGGCCAGGAGCCCGGTGTTTCTGGGATTGGCCAGGAGCCCGGTGCTTCTGGGATTGGCCAGGAGCCAGGTGCTTCTGGGATCAGCCAGGAGCCAGGTGTATCGGACTCCGACGAGGATACGTCTTGGCTGGATCCACGCCAGCGTCGGAAGGATAAGCGTGCGCAGCAGCGAACACGTCGTGCCAGATAGTTCAGCTGAGTCACTGGGCCACACCCCACTGGCTATATAAGCAAGGGGTGTGGCATGTGAAGTTTCGTGTCGGACAATTTTTGATGGATATTCTGTTGCAAGCTCTCTGGCAAGTTATTGTGGAGTTATCTTTGTTTGCTGTGTCTTATCAGTAAAGGCTTGGCAGGCAGCTACACAGTTGCTGCCAAGGAATTCATTTGCCTTTGTCTGTGCCGAGTAGTTTTTCAGGCCTTGGCTGCCTGGTTGGGGGGTGTGGGTCGGACGGGGGACAGAACAGGGGGAGGCTCAGTCATTTTGGAGCCAGCAGTGAGTGACAGTGAAAGGCTCTGCCACCACTGCACAACAGCCACATCCGCTGCTGGAGAGGCTTTGTCCCACAGATCACCTGCCTGGCGGCAATTGCCTCCACCTTCTTTGTCCCACAGATCATCTGCCTGGCGGCAATTGCCTCCACCTTCTCCTCCGCCAACTCTCCCATGGCTTGCACCATGACCAGGCAGCACCAGCCTTCCCTGTTGCCTCTCTCCACCTGCCACACTCTTTCCTTTTGCAAGCAGTCTCTGTCATTTCTCCATCTGGGCAAAAAGTGTTTGGACGCCTATGGGGCGCTTGGAAACTGAGCAATTTGCTCGGTTTCCAAGCACCATAGGCGCTCAAATACTTTTTGCCCAGAGAACTGATGGACACTGGAAACTTCATCTGCTTGCAATTGGGGCACTTGGAAACAGAGTGAATTGCTTGGTTTCCATGTGCCCCATTTGCAAGTAGATGAAATTTCCAGTCTCCCTCTGGGCGAAAAGTGTACGGCATGTCTGGCTGGCCTGCCTCCCCCCCCCCCCGCCTCTGCCTCCACACTCGGACTTACCTACACTGTGCCAAGAGGCCAGTGGGCTACAGCCAGACACATCAGCCCCTGCGTGCTCACCACTTCTTGTGCTGGCCATGCCCACCCCAGCCTTATTTTTGGGGTAGGACTTATATTAGGCCCACCCCAAAAAAATCAGGCTAGGGCTTATATTTGGGAAAACATGGTACAACAAAGGGAAGTATAACTTTTTTCTAACATATTCTTTGTATTTAATTATAGTCATTTGAGATTTTTTGAGTAGGTAAAATGTCGTTATTTTGCTAATTTACAATAGGTCAGGAAAAGAGGATTAAAACAGCATTTTACATGCTGTATTACAGGCCTAAATACAAAAGCTTTAGAAGATAGGTGATGTAATTTATTGTCTATCAGATGATACAGCTTGTTAACATTATGTAGTAAAAATAAAAATAAAAAAGAAGAAAAAATGTTTTCTCAGACCAGTCTCAAAGAACAAGATGGGAAGTTCATAGACTGAAGGCTGGATGTCAACAGTTGTGATATTTGTAGTTTGGTCTAATGGTTAAGACATCATTAGGCTGGAAAGCAGGAGACCATGAGTTCAAGTCCCGCCTTAGACATGAAAACCAGCTAGGTGACCTTGGGCCAATCATTTTTTCTCAATCCAGCTCACCTCACAGGTAAGTAAGTATTTATTTACAGCAGTGGTTCTCAACCTTTTTAATGCCGCGACCCCAACCGGTGGTAAGTCGAGGACTAAACCGGTCGTAAGTAAAGGACTAAACCGGTCGTAAGTCGAGGACTAAACTGGTCGTAAGTCGAGGACTAAACCGGTCGTAAGTCAAGGACTACCCAACCGGTCGTAAGTCGAGGACTTTCCCTGCCCGGGAGCGCCGCACATGCGTGGCTCTGCCCCCTGCGGCAGCTGAGGCGTAGCTGGCAAGCGGCAGAGACGGAGCAGGCCGACCACCAGCTGGCCCAGCCCAAGGGAGGTAAGACACCTGCCGGAAAAGGGGAAAAAAATGGCGGACAAAAAAAATGGCGGACAGCCTTGCTTGGTGACCCCCATGAAATGGTCGATCGACCCCAAATGGGGTCCCGACCCACAGGTTGAGAACCACTGATTTACAGGATATTGTCTTGTAGATGAAGAATAGAACTCACTCTTTTGCGTTTATTTGATTGATCCTAATAAAGGTGTCACTCTGTTATTTTGTAGTGATTTCATTTCTTTTTCCCGCCTTGTATGAATATAATGATTTTTAAAATATATTTTAATTATACATACACACACACACATATAATTGGAACATTTTTTCAATATGTGCTATTTCAACAAATGTGTTGGTTTTATGATTTTATCATTACTTTCAGAAATGCTTGCAAAATGCAAATTATATGTTATTTTGATTTTAAAAAGTTACATTTTCCAAACAATTATTTTTCTTTGCTTACCAAATAGAACTTTGCACTAGCAAAACAACTGTATATAACAATTCTTTTATATCTGTATTTATATTTCTTCTCCAATTGCATCCTTCTTAAACCTGTTCAATATCCATAAGTTAAATGTTTTCCTAATTGTGTTAAATATTCTTCTTCAAGCCTCTACATTACAAAGCAATCTTCTTCTGAGGGCAATTACTAGATTTAAAATGTTATTCAGATATTTCTGGAGGAATTGAATAAACAGGATAAAAACATGCAATTAACAGATATTAACACAACAGTAATACCTATTATAATGTGCATTCCAAGTCTTGCCAAATTCTTCACAGTATGGTAACCAATTCCTTTAATTCCTCCAGTCACCATGGCAACATTACCATTTTGAAAAGGAAAAACTGTCCCAAAAGACAAAATAAAATAGTTAGGAATTGTTTCGTAACAAAAAAATTATTCATCAAAACAAAAGTATCACTGACCAACATTTTACATGTTAATTACAATTATGCTTGTAGTTGTAACTGTTTTCCAAGGCACTTTATGCAGCATTACAATCATAAGAAAAATATGTAATTTTTTAAAAAATCAATATTATTAAAATTGTTATTTTTTGAAATGTTTCTATATCACATTTTAATGAATGGCCCAAAGATTGACTGTTGCAACTGCAAATAAGAATGGAATATATAATGTAATGTACCATTAAATCTGGTGACGTTAATATGCAATGCCACATTCAATAAAACTAGTGAACTACATTGAAATGTTATATTAGAAAAGATATTGGTCACTTTCACTAATAAAGGAAAATATACGTGCCCCAGGATGTCACAAGATCAAATCTGGGTTGGTCTCCGGGACCAGAGATTTAGTCTTCTGAGCTTTCGGATTCGTGCTGGAGCTCATCTGCAAGGAACTTCTCTCTACTGGAATATGTGCTTTGGACTATTCTGTGAGCTGAATTGATGACTTGGGTAGCTTTGGAGCTTGTATTTGAATATAAACCTTTGCAGTCTTAATACAGTAAAAAATTAGTGAACTGTCTAAACACATGGAATTGGATAAACAGAAGTTTGGATTAACTGTAACTGAAGTGAAATACAGTTTTTAATAAACATTGAGCTTTCAGGGATAATATCTCAGTTGTTCAGATCAGGATAATAATCATTACATAAATAATGTTTATGTATAATAATAATAATAATAATAATAATAACAACAACAACAACAACAACAGCAACAACAACATTAAAAAAATAGCTGGGAAAGCAGATAATAACAAGACTTGGCAATGGCTAAGAGCAGGAAAGTTGAAGAAAGAGACCGAGGGACTAATTCTGGCTGCACAAGACCAAGCCTTAAGGACAAATGCATACAAAGTCAAAATTGAGAAGATAGCAACAGACAGTAAGTGCCGCCTATGCAAAGAAGCTGAAGAAACAGTGGACCACCTGGTAAGCTGCTGCAAGAAGATCGCGCAGACTGACTACAAGCAGCGGCATGACAAAGTAGCAACAATGGTGCATTGGAAGATCTGCAAGAAATATCATTTGCCTGTAAGCAAGAACTGGTGGGATCATAAAATAGAGAAAGTCATAGAACATGATAAAGTTAAACTGCTCTGGGACTTCAGAATTCAAACAGACAAGCAACATAACACCCCGGACTTAACAATTGTCGATAAGAAAGACAAAAAGGTCTGGATAGTGGATGTGGCAGTGCCTGGAGACAGCAGAATAGACGAGAAAGAACTGGAGAAGATAACAAAATACAAAGACCTACAAATAGAAATAGAAAGACTGTGGCAAAGGCAAGCAAGGGTAGTACCAATAGTAATAGGTGTCTTGGGTGCAATCCCAAAACAACTGGAGCACCACTTGAACACCATTGGCATTGACAAATTCGCCATTAGTCAATTGCAAAAGGCGGCCTTACTAGGAACTGCTTCCATCCTGCAACGATAACTGTAATACCATCAAACATCCACATCTGCCTATCCCAGGTCCTTGGTAAGGACTTGATAGGTAGACAAAAATGCCAAATCCAGTTTGAACATCTGGCTGACTATGCGATGATTAATAATAATAATAATAATAATAATAATAATAATAATAGCAATAATAATAATAATAATAATAATAGCAATAATAATAATAGTAATAATAATAGTAATAATAATAATAATAATAATAATAATAATAATAATAATAGTGGACCACCTGGTAAGCTGCTGCAAGAAGATTGCACAGACTGACTACAAGCAGCGGCATGACAAAGTAGCAACAATGGTGCATTGGAAGATCTGCAAGAAATATCATTTGCCTGTAAGCAAAAACTGGTGGGATCATAAAATAGAGAAAGTCATAGAAAATGATAAAATTAAACTGCTCTGGGACTTCAGAATTCAA